TAATTTTTATCCCAGAAATTATAATAATAGCTATAAATTAATACAAATATTTATAAGCTTGACTAGCAGCATATTTTTAATACTGAATTTAATAAATTATTTTTTTTACTACCTAAATTAAAGCGAACAAAATAAAATTAAATACTAAATATTAGAAACTTAATCTCATTATAAACATTTATGCTTATACACTAAATTAAAGTGAAACTTAATACTACTGAATTAGTCTAGTATTATTGTACTGTTGTAAGACTGGAAACATGATCTGACTGCAGGCACAGAGCCTTGTGACCCAGACAATCCAAATTGGGGTTTACTGGCAGAATTTCAGAAATTGCCAAAATTATGAGAATTAGGAAAATTTAGAAAATTTTTAGAATTAGGCAAAAAATGAGAATAAGGGGAATTACAATAATTACAATAATTATAGTAATAAGTATAATTCTGCGTATTCTGTATATAAAAATAGATAGTAAGTTAATTGATAATCTATTTGTCACCTGGAGGGGATCTGCAAAATTTTATAAGTAAAATTTACTATTGGCTCAAATATGGTGGTGCTACATCTAAAACTTTTTTTTTACTAAGACAATCAATCTTGTCAATTAATTAAAAGTTGTAGAGTTCATCAAGACACATCTAATACTGTAATAGTAAGAACATCAAAATCGGCCTGGTGGTTTTTGAGATATCTTTAAAAAACATCTTGCATCTATATAAAATTTCTTTAAAAAAAGCCTTTTTTTTTAAAGGAATTTTATATGTATATAAGACGTTTTTTGAAAATATTTCAAGAACAACAAGCTGATTTTGACACTCTTACCACCATTAGATGCATCTTGATAAGCTCCACAACTTTCAATTAATTGACAAGATTGATTGTTTTAGTAAAAAAAAGTTTTAGATGTAGTACTGCCACATTTGGGCCAATAGTAAATTTTACTTATAAAATTTTGCAAATCCCTCCAGATGACAAATGAATTATCAATTAATATAAATAAAGGCCTGTTGGCCCTTTAAAAAGACAAAAAACAACATCTAATTTATCTAATAATTAAAGTACCTATATATATAATAAACTATATATATTCTTTATAAACCACTTATCCAAATCTAACACATCTCTTTTGACCCTGAGTAATCTAGGTTTTGGTTACATAGACCTTTTTACGATTTAGTAACAGACTTGCTAATTCAGGTCTGACACTGTATAATGTATGCCAACTTGATATCAACATTCAGATAAATGCCAATTGATCAATAAATTTTTTTTTATACATATGAATAGCTAAATTAAACAAACTATGAGAATTTTTTTAAATTCAAAAATCGTATTTTTATGTGCTAAATATATGAATTATGTAGATATTAGTTTGGATCATGATTTTGAAAACTCAGCTTTTCTAATTATGTGAAACTCAAACAAATAATGCAGTTTGTTAATTCAACTAAATTGAAAATAGCTAACTTTTGGTATATATATATCTATTTATATAATACTAGATATTATAGTTATTGTATCAATAATATAATATAATATAGTAAAAATTTAAGGACCTGTGGGTCAATAGCATAGCAGTTATGCTCCCAGGTTGCAAATCAGATAGTTGCCAGTTCAATTCCTCCCAATAGCAGATTAATGAAAAATTCGAAAAACAGAAGTGAAACACCATGGAGTTCAGGAAACCCAGGATATCTACGGATAGACATATTCAGGGAATAGTTATTTCAAGAAGTTGTGGCTATGAAGCGAGGCATGTTAGAACCCCTATTTGGAATAACTGAAGTCACGAGATGTAATGTGAGGCCAAGTCTGATAAAGATACTACAAGAACTCATGGTGACACCGGATTGGCTGGTGAAAGTCCAGTACAATAATAAGATGATCTGATCTCTCTGGAGAACGGTGCAGGCAGTCGGTCCTAGGTACCTAAATAGGCAACCAGGTAGGGTCGGGCCTATTCCAAATATACTCATAATGGTAGAAATACTTGATTTGTGGTCGCCCCCCTGTAGAGAAATGGGTAGTAGGGATAGTTGGTCACGGCAAGACTTAGCTGAAGTATAAAAAAAAAAAAAAATAGTAAAAATTTAAAACTTTACACAGAATTCATGTATTTAAAAAGTATTATAGTAGACAATTAATAAACATAAAACATGAAAACACGTATTTGGAAGCTTTCAGATAAAAGAAAATATTTTTATATTAAATACAAAAATAGTTTTAAATTATCACAAAATTACACAAATCTAGCTTATACTAGTGCATAATACCAGTGTTGGTATTTGGACTATCTCCAATCAAAATTTTATTTAGACTTGAACATAGACTAATACTAATCCAAATACTGTAGTATTCATGCTATATTCAGTGTGATAATCAGATCAAATTATCACATGATGAACAAGATTTTATTTAAATATAATTTTTTAGCCACAACCTGCTAACCTGTTTTTTTAATTTTTTGAAAAAAATCAAGTTCCAATTGTGCAATTATTCTACTTTTACTATTTGAATTTTCTAGAGCTATCCAATAGAATCAGTAAAAAAAAAGACCATTTACTCTATGCTATGCAAAAACAAAAAATCATTACACATAGCTTAGATATGAACATAAGTCTACTATTTCAATAGATAAATAAATACTAAAAAAAAAATCTGACATGCCGACCAGAATTTTGAAATACCAAGTTATGCAAAATGAAAAATCAACTTTATATAGCACAGCACTATATCTTAATCTTGAGGTTTGTATCTAATTTCATTATATTTTGTATTCTTTTTTTAAATTACTGTTCTTGAAGGTGAAATAACAATTTCTATAGGCTGCATGATTTTGGATTCTGCTATAAAATCATATCACAGCTATGGATATAAGACATTTGAATGGTATATAAAGTCTGCTAAAGCTGAAAATTCAGGTAAAGAATGCATTTTATTCTTAAATTCTAACATTAAAATGCCATAGACATATCTAACAATATGAGGTATTCAAAATCTGCTGAAATAAGTAGATAATATAATCATAGTTATAAAAAAAGATATTTAAGAGATATTTGAAATTTGTTAAAGCAATAATTAAAGTAGTTAATAATATAATCTTGATTTCAGTACAAATAAGATATAGTTATATTCAACAATGAAAAATGGCAATTCAAGTTGAAAATAAATCTTGGATTTTACTATTAATAAGGTGTAAACATATCTAATGATAAAAAAAAGGCATTGAATGATATTTTTATCTGTTAAAGCCAGAAATTCAGATGGGCAATGCTATTTTATTTTTGCTGTAATTAAGCTAGACACATCAAAAGTGAAAAAAGGTATTTGAGAAATTTGAAATCTACTAAATGTATTCAAAAATGTGCAATATAATCTTGATTCTGCTAAAAATAATAGAAATAAAGTAAGACACATCAATGGTGAAAAGATATTTGAGAGGTATCTGAACTCTGCTGAAGTGGAAATTCAAGTAGGAAATTTAATTTTAATTTCATTATAAATAAAATATAATTGGATATATTTGAAATTTGTTGAAGTATTAATCCAAGGTTGGCAATTTATTTTGATTCTGCTAGGAATAAAGTAACAATAAAAAAAAGCATTTAAGAGATATTTGAAATCCATTGTAGCAGTAATTGAGAATAAGTATAGATATACCCAATGATGAAAAAAGGTAACAGAAATGCTGAAGCAATAATTCAAGTGGGCAACAATGTAACCTCAATTGTGCTAAAAATAAAGTATAAATACAGTACACCCAACAGTTAAAAAGGCATTTAAGTGATATTCAAGTGAAAAATATAGCATAAATTCTAGTATAAACAAGACTTAAGTATATTCAATGATGAAAAAAAGGCATTTGAGATATGTGTTGTACTTTATTAAATTTTAAACATTAATATATTTTATAATTTAGATTTATTCAGATCTACCATGTGAATTAGCAAATTTTTTATATACCAGTATAAATTGATCTATTGTCACAGGTTAATCAATAACCTTTGTCAAAGAATAACCTAGCCCAGATAGTAGGCACTAGTAATTAGGCACCAAGTAAACAAACTCAACAAGGCAAGTGTTTACTTTATTACTCAAATGAACTTTATTTATTAAGGGTTTTATATATTACAAAAGCAAAACTATCTAAACTAACTAACCAAGACTATTATTACAATTGCTTCGGCTATATACATACTTCAAATCATATTATTTACATCATAATTTGCTTATATACAGTTCTGGCTAGCATAAGATATCCACTTTTTATATATAAATACAAAATTGCTTATAATTTACAAACAAATGACTTTAAAAAAAATCTGTCTAACAAATTTGTTGCTTTTAGTCTAAACTACAATTCTGTAAGATAGATTTTTATTTTTATTATAAATTTAAAAAATTATTTAAGTCTAAAGTTAATATGTAATCAAAAATTTGGTGTTTAATATATAAAAAATTAATTTTATAGATTTTTAACCAATCAAACTTTTTGTTACACAAAAATAGCCAATCAGATTTGAGTATAAATCTCAAATTTGGCGCTTTTAAAAAAAATTGGATATCTTATGCTAGCCTGAACTGTATGATCATTTGACTCTTATATTACTCATAAATTATTTCATACTTCATACATAATACTTCGATTGTATAATTGATCTTTACTCGATATCTTAATCCCTGATCAATTATGTGTATCACAAGTACAAGTTATTGATCAGTCAATTGCTTATTTCCTTATATTCATACCTGTTTATTGCATACTGTATTTCACCATGATACAATTTAAAATCCCCTAGAACTTTGTCCTGAAGTTTTCAACTCCTTTTGCATACTTTTCAAAAAACATTATACACATCACCAAACCTAATTTTACTATTATTTTTCACCAACGATCCTTTTCCTCAATTAAATACACTTCTCATCTATTGATCATTATTTTCAAGGTCCAGTCACTTATGTGCATTACCATATTTAGCAAAGTTTGCTCCATTAACATTCACCATAGTCCTGTCATTATCATCATTAACAACTTCATTTTTTTGACTTCAATTTCATTCTCATTCTTTATTACTGAATTACCTTCTTTATTTCCATACTCAAGACCTTCAAAGTTTGTATGCCAATACCACTTGCACAAATTCATACCACACTTGAATTCCTCAGAGTTATCATTTCTTAATGCTTTCAACAAACATTTCACTATTTTTTTCCTTCCTAGAACTACATTCGACAACACATCAATTGCTCCAATTCAGCAGCAACAATTTGCAACTTTATCTACTTTTTCAATTCCAGCATTGTTTACCCCTCTACTATTATTATTTATCACTGACTCCTCTGCAACACATCCAAAGTCAATTAAATCTTCTTCAATAAATGCATCAAATATGTTTTTAGATTCCCTTTCATTTATCTGATCAGATTTATCAAAATCTATTAGATCGTTGACTTTTATTTCTTTGATGAATTCTATTTCATTACTATTCATTTCATTTTTTTGACAATAGACAAATTTCTTGTGTTCATCCTTTTCATTACTAGTCATTTCTTCCTAATTACAATAACCAATAACTTAAATACAATTACCACACCAGATATCTGCAGATTTACTATCACCATTTCTCATATCTAACAACAACTGGTCAACTTTAGCTTCCAAGTCATCCAATCCTCGATCATTTATCTCACTAATCGATTCATTACTTACAATATCATTTTCTTCAGCATTTTCTTTCTTTAATCCAACTTGATTAGAATTGCCACTTCTGATATTATTCCAAAATATGTTGATTAAACTTATGCCACAATTTGGTGCATCAGGCTTTGGATCTTCTTTGAATGCTTTTCTTTCATTGTTACCAACGTTTTTGCTAATCACATCTTTACCTCTTTCAGCCATTGCTTTATCTTTGTTACTATTCGCACTTTGTTGCATCAACTCTTCACATTTATCCACATTTTTAATGCACATATCTTCCTCTTCCTCCACATTTATATAAATCAATATTAGGTTTATCTTGTGGGCCATTGATACCAATTCGTTGCAAGATGGCTAGTAATTTGCCCTGGTTCTTGTGTTATGGATTAATCAATAACTTTTGTCAAAGAATAACCTAACCCAAATAGTAGGCACTAGTAATTAGCCACCAAGCAAACAAACTCAACAAGCAAGTATTTACTTTATTACTCAAATGAACTTTATTTATTGAGAGTTTTATATATTACAAGAGCAAAACTATTTAACCAAGACTATTATTACAATTGCTTCAGCTATATACATACTTCTGGCCATATTACTTACATTATAATTTGCTTATATATAATCATATGATTATTTAACTCTTATATTACTCATAAATTACTTTATACTTCATGTATACTACTTCGATTACATAATTGATCTTTACTCGATCTCTTACTTCCTGATCGATTATGTGCATTACATGCATAAGTTGTTAATTGATCGATTGCTTATTCCCTTATATTTATACCTGTTTATTGCATACTGTATTTTACTATGACACTATCTAACCAACAATTAAAAGGTATTTGAAATTAGCTGAAACAGAAATTCAACTGAGCAATAAATAAAGTATATAAAGTATATATACCTCTATCAAATGGCAATTAATAAAGTCTAGGCCTATCCAATAATAAAAAAGTATTTAACATATATTTGAAACCTGCTTCAATGTAATATTGATTCCACATTTGAGAAGTATTTGAAATCTGCTAAAGCAGCAATTTGATTCTTTTAGGAATAAAGCGTAGGTATATTCAAAAATGAAAAAAAGCAGTTGAGTAGTATTTAAAATCTTCTGAAGTGGAAATTTAATGAAATATGTAATTTCAGATTTAGCTATAAATAAACGTAATATTTCAATATTGAGTTTTATTAAAGCTAAAATATAATAGTGATATATACAAAAAAATTCTGGGTTGTTATATAATAAACTTTTGCTAAAGTTATAAAATTATAATAATAAATAAATATTCGATTGCCAAGCTAATTTTCTAAAACTGGTAGTGATTTAGTAAAGCTATAAATTATAAAGTATTTGTTTTAAATATAGCGTGTTATTTTAAAATACAAAACCCCAACCAAATCTCTATTAAAATTTGTCTATGAAATTAGTTTCAGCACACTATTGCACTAACAAAAAAAATTTTTATTGACATAATATAAGTCTTTATTCTAATTATGACATATAAACTTTTATTATTTATTAAAAATATCGATTGTTTTGATTGAGTATATAAAAAAAAAAATTTAGCCATAGGTATATAGTCATAGGCACAGGCACAGAAATTTGATATTTATTATTTAATTATGCCCAGCACTACTCCAGCACCTTGTGTCTAGCATTTTGTATTCACATCCTTGCTAGTGTCTAGCACTTTGTACTCATATCTTTAATGTGTCTGGCATTTTATACCCTTTTATGGGCATAAGGTATTAGTACCCAACTGGTGCCAATGTGTATTTAATATCCTTAGTGTAGATCATCTAATTAAACTCAAATATTATATAAACAATCCTAAATTGAGATTTTGAGATATTGATATGTATAAATACAATGTTCTAAAAATTTTGTCATTTTCAAACTTCTTCTCTAACTTTTTTCCTCAACAAACTTCCTTGCAAATAACTTCCATACTCCCTCTTGAATTTTGCCATAAAATTAATAAAAATTTTTGAAAAACAATTATAAAAAAAGGTGGAAGAGGATCTTTACATATCAATATAACAAGACGTAACTGTTGTCTATACACAGAAGCTAAAAAAGGTTATTAGCAATTTACTTTTAACTTTATTAGACCTTTGTGGTAGCAATATCAGTTAAAAAAAAGAAAAATCAATTGGAAATGCACTCTAAAGAACATGTTATATTGATTCAGAGCTATATGTAAATAAGACATTGGTATTATTAAACTTAGATAATAATGATCTAAAATTAAAAGAGGGGAAAAACTAGCTCAGGCTATTAGAAACAATAATACACTTAAAACTTTATACTTAGAAAACAACAGTCTTGAAGCAGAAGGTAAAAAGCTTATACAAGATGCAAGTAAAATTACTATGCTCCTATTTCTTTAAATTTTTAGATATTCATTTATATTGATATATAAAATATTACATATATTAAAATGTTTTTGCATTTTACATTTAACATAAAATGCAAAAACATCTTAATAAAAAGTTCTTTGATTTACTTGTAACTTCAGAATAGGTATATTTTTACCTCCTAAACAATCACTATTAAGTGACTTTTGTCGATTTACTTAATAGAATTTCGACTTTTATATGTAGCAACTACTTGTAGCTTAATAAAAATTGATAAAAATTAATTGCTCCTAAAAATAAGCTACCCCTATGATTTTTGTGTAACTTTTTGGCCAAAAAAAGGTAGCTTATTTTCAGAAACCTACGGTACTTTTTGTAAATATTTTGTATGCCATATGAATTTTTTTTAATAAATTATATAATAATAAATCAGTAATAATGACAAATAAAGAGAATTTAATAATATTGATAATAATTAAAACTTTAAACTACAAAAAATTAGTGCATTTAAAAAGCATCGCAGTAGACAATTAATAAATATTTAAAAACTCTCAGATAAAAGAGTTATTTAGATCTTGTTTTTATATTAAATTACAGAAATGGTTTTATACTACTACAAATCACACAAATTTAGCCTATAATACTTCTTAAAAAACAATACAGTATTTATTTAATCTAATTAGCATATGATGTTCAACATTTTACTTACAAAAAGACAATTAGGCTTTTGCAAAGTCAATTTTTTATTTTATTATATGTTTAATATAAGTTTATTACTTTAATCGATTAATAATAATACTAAAAAAAAATAAAAAATCTGCACACTAACAAATACCAGATTATACAAATGAAAGGTCAATATTGTGTAGTATAGCACTAATTTCAATTGAGATTTTTTGAATTTACAATTGTTTTTTCACCTTGAGGTTTGTATTTGACGTTAAATCATTTTTATTTTATTAGTTTTGTATGTTTTTTTTCAATTACTGTTTTTGAAGATGTCAATTCTTACTAGTTGTATGATTTCAGATTCTACAATGAAATCATGTCATAGCTAGAGATAAAAGATATTTTAATAAGATTTAAAGTTAAAAATTCAAGTAAAGAATGCATACTTATAAAAAGGTGTAGAAATCTAATGATTAAAAAAAAGCATGAAAGGCTCGAAATCTGTAGAAGCCAGTAATTTAAGTGGGCATAGATATAAAAAAAGGTATTTGAGAGGTATTTGTAATCTGCTAAAGTGATAATTCAAGTGGTTAACAATATAATCTTGATTCCAATGCAAATAAGGCGTAGATATATTAAATAATGTTAAGTGGTACTGAAGCTATAATTCAAGTAGAAAATTGCAATAGATAAAGCATAGGCACATCTAATAATGGAAAAAGGCATTGAGTGGTATTTTGATCTGCTGAAGCCAGAAATTCATGTAGACAATGCAATTTTAGATTTTTGCTAGGAATAAAGCTAGACACACCAAAAGATGAAAAAAGCTACTGAAATGTTAATTCAAAAGTGGACAATATAAACTTGATTTAGCTAGAATTAATGGTGAAAAAAGTATTCAAAAGATATTTGAAACAGCAATTCAAGTGGGCAATTTTAATTTTGGTTTCACTATAAATAAAGCATAGAAATGAAAAAAAGGTATTTGAAATCTACTGAAGTAGTAATTCAGTTGCAACTATGTCTGTTAAAAATAAAACTAAGCATATCAAAAGATTAAAAAAAGCATTTGGGAGGTATTTGAAATTATTTGAAGTGTTAATTCAAGTGGGTAATATAATCCCGACTCTGCCAGGAATAAGGCATAGATACACAAGTACAGAGGTTAGAAACTCTAGATATAATAAGGGTTATTGTCCGGAGAGTAGCAGAGGACTCCCTATAAAAAATTTTTAGTCGTTATATTCCGATTGCAATTAGGTATTTTAGTAATATTCCGATTATATTCCAATTA